TTTGCATCACAAATTTTGCATGAGTATTAATGGATTTCGTGCCAGCCTCCTTCGGCATTGATGGCAGACTGAAGCTACAGAGTATTTTGACGATCATGCCGATTGCTGGATAAGGAGTCTTCTCCTGCGGCGTATGCAGAGGTTCTGTTGCTTTAGACTCTGCGAAGGTTGATTATTGAAGAAAAGATGCGAGGACCCACTGTCAGATGTATATAGTATTTGATGATGAACAATCTGGGGGGCTTTAGGGAGGGGACCCAGAGATGCTGACCTGCCTAAACTTTGGTAGGTGTACTAATAGAAGCTCAGTTGCTTTGGCTTGTGTAGTGGACGTGTTGTTGCCTGGGCTACAGAGGGTTCACTGCTGAAGAGGCTTGGAAACTTGAAGTTCTTCGTAGGCCTTATGATGGATACGGTGATGAGTGTCTTTGCGCGTGCTGTTTTTGGTGCTGCCTGGCAATCTTCTGCTAGAATGCTCCAAGGCGGCCGACATCAGAATGCCAAGTTCTGTTCGAGGGCGTGGATGGTTCGGAAGGTCGTGCATGTCGTGGAGCTGGTCCAGGAGACAACTCGTGCCTCGGATACATTGACACATGTGGCAGGGTTTGGGGGATGCCGGTCCTACTTTGCGTACCGCTGCAGCTGCTGCATGCCAATTACTCTGCTGAGGTCGTGAAGACGCATCCGCTTGTGAATACCAGCTTATCCTACAGAAGAAAAGCATCCGAAGAAGGGACCCCCCGCAAAAGCGTACCGGTTCCATGCGGAGACGCACAGCCCTTATCGTAGTAGGAAAACGCGACATCATATCCTGAATCCAGCAACGGCGCTTAAATCATAGCACATACTGACGGATTCTTCAGAACCTGAGCACTGAAACATCGAGAATCTGAAGCACCTGCATGAATTTGACGTGAGTTCCAGTGAACAGGATCGAGAACCCCAAGTGGAGGGAGATGTCAAATTCAAGCCCACTTGCGAGGCGACTACATGTTCATTGAACATGAGGCCACATGTTTCGAAGCGTTGGTATGGCAACTACCGCTCCTGACCCCAAAAATAACAATAGTGACCGTCATCATGGTTGCCCAAGGCCTGACTACTACTATGTCCGAACTGCTGACACCATGGCTCCAAGTTTGCAAGTAGATCTTTGTTTGTTTGTGGTGTGAGAGGGTGACAGATTGATTTGGTCTATAATCTCAGCAGGACTCAGAGCACTATGATCGAACTCCAGATGATCTAAGGAGAGCTGCCGCGGGTTCTGCGAAGGAGATCTCAACTGCGTTGGCATCGAATTCAGCAGCTCCAGCTCGCGCTGCGAGGCAGGAAGCAACGATTCTCCAATTGCAGCTGCGGCTGTAATTGTTATTGCTTCTTCTTCCATGATCAACCACTACTGCTCTCGCTGCTGACATTTGATCATTGCCTTCTTCCTACTGCTACCACTTCGACTGCTGCCAGTTATTACCGCTACCCAACAAAGCCCGCCATCACATATAATGCCATCATTACTACCCTCCCACCTTCACACTTCACCGAAACCACCGCAGCAGCACAACAGCACAAATCACGACCAAAAACACAACACCACCACGACAAAACAAACAGCAGAAACAGAGGCAGCAGCAAGAAGAAGTAGGAGACCCCTAACAACATCAGCAGCAGCATCATGAACAACACACCAACAACGTGCACCTAGTAACTTGTGCCAACGCGTACATACCCGGCTGTCAAGCCTAGGCTCATTATTGCTTACAGGGCCGCAGGAGAATAAGAAAACACTTAAGAGGTTCAAAGTCACGAGGCCGCAACATACCTTACATACGGCGTAAAACTTGTTTCTTTAGCTTCATCATGCTCATTGTGTTTTCCTGCCATAGAGTGTATGATATGTTACAGCATGGCGCAGCAGCAGTAGCAGAAGTTAGAGCAACAGCAGCAAAAACAGCTTCAACAAGCTCTGGCCAGGTGTGGGTCAGGCCCGAAGGCATCCAGTCAAGTATTCAGCTCGCATCTGGTATGAGCCAGAAGAATTTGCTTTGGTGAAATGGGTTGAAGCAGGTAGGACAGACATTTGGGGTTAAGGGTTATGGGTTTGGACTAGGTAAGTTACCCAGGGGATTTTGTAGGCAGTACATGAGGATTTGACCTTCAACCCCCACTCTACGCACAGTGCTACAATCCCATTTCTGTATTGTGGCCCCAACACTCGCGTAAATGCCTGCAAGGCTGAAGCGGGGGACCCAAAGGCATTGTTCATACCATCCCCGGCCCGGGCCCTGCAAAAGCTTTGGATTGAAGCTCCGCACGTGAAGAATCTTTGGTTTACAATGCCAACCTGAACTCTCAAATCCCTGCAATCTTTAGCTTCAGGCTGCCTACCAATGCCAGCGGATCATCCGCTGGGGTACAGGCTGTTCTGGCATGGGCCCAGGCGCGTGTGAAGGAGCATGAAGTTCAGGGGGGTTGGGGATAGGGCATGCAGTGCTTAGGACTTAAGTGGCGACAGGACTCGCCCGTTTTGGTGGTGTTGGACTTGCGCTAGATGTTTTTGGGTGGCTATTTTGTTCGTGGCCCGTCAGGGGCGAAGGCCTAGTGATTAAGTTGCTCCTAGCGATGCGCCATGTCTTGCAAGACTGACTAAGAGCCATCTATAGACGTAAGGGGTTCAAAGAACTGCTTGAGAGGTTTGTGAGTTGCGTTGATGCTTGCGGAACCAAGACAACTGGCTCAGGCTCGGACACAGGACTGGAACCGGGACACAGCTCCCTGGCTTGGTTTTCACGAGATTTCCCCAATCCGCGAGTGCGTGACGGGTTCACAGGTATTGAAGCATTTCTTCAGCATTCAAACGGGGCATCAGTAGGTCTTTCCTAGCAGAGGGTGGTAGTGTTTGAAGACTTTTCTTGCAAGACTCCCACTTTTCGGAGCTAGAAAGGTACCCGAACGTTCACGGCTCTTGATATGCTTGAGATGTACGAAGCAAGCGTCATGTCAAGTTAGGATGACGGCGGTGCTGTAAAATCCAGGCAGAAACAGAGCGAAGATTGCCAGAAACATGCCTCTCGCGTGAGTCTGCGGCAGTTACTTGTGTGTTATGTCAAGTTACGATCTGGCGCATTGATTTCTGAGAAGACTTAGGCAGCTGCGACGACAGAGCACGTAGTCCCGTGTTGATTACCACCCCTTTGGACCATGAACGCCGTTCACGCCTGGCCAAGGCAGTAGTAGGCCGGAACAGGTGTGATGGTTTTTGCTTTCCCCGTTGCATTGCTGTGGCTATCCCATGTTTGTCTACTTGTGTCCCTATAGCATCCTGACATAGTCCCAGGATAGTCTCTTTACGAACCCATTGCAAAGGCAACTTCTTCTTCGTGGCGCTTTCAGACAGAAGCTCACTGCTCTTGTACACCGTGATAGGAGCGGCTGCATTGATTCTGGCGCAGTATTAAGGCATGTTGCACAACTTTTGCTTCTGAAATTCGAAAGGAAGTTGTGAAATAAAAAGAATGCAACATCGACAAGGGACGTCATGTTTTTTTTATCCTCCTACGGCCTCTGCATTTTGTGAAGTCCTCCGAAGGAGCTTTTAATCGCTTATAGCAGTGGATGCCAGTTTCAGAAAATCCCTGGTTTGTGGAAGCATACATATGAGTGCATATCTAAGCGCACCACAGCGTAAACCTGAAGCCCTGAACACCCTCGTCCTTTTCTGATCCTCAAACCTAAATGCCTACGCTCAGGATCATTCTTCTTGCGGCATACTGCCTGAAGAACAGGCCGGCGGGATTCCAGCGAGATGCACGGACGCCCACAACTCCCAAATCTGATGTCGAGAAGCAGCACTTTCTCACCTGAGAGCAGCCCATTTGCCAAATCAGGGTGATCCCATAGAAAGCTCTGAAAGAGGCATTTCTGTTTTCGGGGTTCATTATAGCCAGGACCCTTCTTTGCAGGGTAATTCTTTGAGAGCCCTGTTTCAAGAGCAAGCCCATCTAGGCTGCTGCTCCCCCCTGTACAGCCTGCGCTTGAAACATGTCCCATACCTTGGGCTTTTTAATGTATAGCTCGGACTCTGCCCCCACCCTCTAGGAAATTTTACGACCCATTCTTTTCAAGGCACAAGGAGTACAATTGCAGTGACGCTTTCAGGATCGTTATGGGGCGCGGGCAATACCCAATGTATAGTCGCCGTTCAGGTGCTTTGAGGTCATCCGACCTAGGTCTTCATGTTCCGTGCACAGATCCGGTCACGGCCAACGAGCCTCCGGCCGTTCCGGAAGAGGCTGGGAAGTCACAACGACTTCGCAACTTCTTGCCCACCTATAGCAAGCGGATTCTGAAGACGGAATTGTTTCTGTAATGTAGATAGCAAACGCCCAAGTCTTCATGTATGACAGTAGTGGTACTGCCATGTATTACTAGCATAAAATAGTGCGTACTAGTACTGCTATTACATAACAAACGAAGAGCGCATGATAAAAGCATTCAAGAGCAGCAGTAGCAGGAGCAACAGGAACAGCAGCAGTAATAAGCATGAAATAATGGTAGCGTGTTCATGTAGTGGAGTAGTGAGTAGTGCATTAGTAGAGCAGGGTATAGCAGGAGGAGTGGACAGACAAGTTGTAGCAGCAGCAGTACTGGTAGCAGAGGGATGTCTGAAGGTCCTCGCTTCGCTGGGCCGGATGACCATGCACCAGAATGCACCAGAGTCTGCTTTTCAGGCTTCAGGTTTGGCCTAGCCCACGGCAGATTTCAGCTCGGGTTGCGCGAAGCAGACCTAAACCCTGCGTGATTTGACAGGCAAAAAAGGCTACCCTAAACTATCCTAAGAACGCAGTCCGCCCTAACGGGTCTTTTGAGCGCAGCTGCCCCAGCCATGAAAGCAGCCATGCAAAGTGGCCAACCTGACAGATGCAACTTGACGTGAGAGGGTGAAGCTTCCACGCTTTGCATGGTGCAGGCTCAAAAGACTGCTGCCTAGTCAGCCCATTGCCATGGCATACTGCAACAACGAGTGCAACAACAAGGCAGCCAATGACTGCGATTATGGCCTGTGCGGGAGCTGTTGTGATCATGGAGCTTGCCATCGCCATGGATGGTTCGAGCACGAATGCGATACATGTGGACGGCTTTTTGAGAATCAAAACAACTTGAACCAACACATGAGGACACACATGCCCAAGGACAAGTTTTGCCCTGCCTGTGGCAAGTTTGCCAGCTCCTCCGTCTCGGGTGTGACGATGCATGTGGAGAATGGCCACTGCTCTGCATGTGGGCATCATGGGGGGCGTCTAGTAAGAGATTTCATGCGCCACAATGTCCCTGAGTACCTTCGGCCTGCCATCTGCGACGGATATGTCAACGAGAGTGAGGATGAGGATCCTTATTGTAGCATTTGTGACCGCTCCTTTAAGAGTTTCGGCGCTTTGCTGCAACATACAGAAGCTAAGCATTCCCAGCGTGGCCCTCAGCTCAGTTTGTCCTGGTGAGGCCTACGAAAGCACGGCAGACGGCCAGGTGATTTGAATAGGGTCTCGAGGGCCGGGTCGTGAAAATCGTAGAAGGGTCCGCTTTATCGCGCTGAAAGTCCGACCTGTCTCACCGTTCGCTAGATTCTAGATGGATTCCCACTGATTTTCCATAGTACGCCCAGAGCCTTGCAGGAGATGTGCGCATTTGATATGAGGAGTTCTTGCTTGAATTAGAACTACAGGTGGAGTTCGAGGTACCTCAGTTACCAGCATTTTCATTGAGCCTAGACTAGAAAGATCTTCAGATGGCTGAAGTTGCCAGGTATGCCATACGGGTGATGCATGTCATGGATGGTGCCCTTACTTTAAGGCCTAGTCTGTTTTGAACATGAACTTCCGCAATGATGAGAGCCTGAAATTGTCGATTTGCGTGACAGAAAAACGTTTAGAAACGACTCTGATGCGTTTTGGAACACAGAGTTCCATGCAAACTCTTTGGACCCGGACAAGCCCCAGAATAATCCCTACAAACTTGTTCGCAAAGGCCCTGTAGGAGTTTCTCAACATAGCCTGGCATCCTTACTGGGCCAGTTTTTCTGAGGCTACAAACAAACATGAAACTCCTCCACAGCTCTCGGCCCAATTCATGGAGCCGACTGGGTAGTTGTTTAGAGTTTGGATTCTTTAGGGCTTTGGCCACTGCTTGCGGGAAGACATATACTTGTAGGGGAAGCGTCATGTCGGATCAGGGTTCAGAAATTCAGTGTAGGGGTCGGGACTTAGAACGTGCCAAATGCAATATATCGTAAGCCAGACCACTCCTTGTCCTCATCACCTTCCCCTCAGCGCAGTTCTACTAAGTAATTAACGTCAGGATCCCAAGTTCTCAGGGAGGCCGCGAGGTTTCTGAAACTTCAGCTTTTCAGCTTTCAAGGCCTCGGGTTTTGGAATTGCCTCCTAAAAGGCTAGGATCTCCATCGAAAGCATCCCAAGAAAGGGACTGAGAGTCTGGGAAACTACCAACATGACGCTGCCTGCGCGGTTGGGGCAAGCTGCTGGGCTGGGATGCTTGGCTGTTAATTAAGCAGGGCCCTCTTTTTCAGGTTATATTCTCGTCTTGCATTTGTTTTTAAAGTACGAACAAGGTCAAGTTAAGTCTAAACAGACGGTGCCGCATGTCTTCTGTTGAGTAGCCAAAACATAAGTAAACCTGCATCACGTGCTCAAACTGCTGAGAAGCTTCCTTAGACCCCAACCCGGCTGTTCTGAAACATGCACAACAGAGCCCAGGACATGAGGGCGGATGGCGGACAGATCCCGGGTGCGAGCCTTTGGAAGTCAAGATTCGCGTTGAAAACCTGTAAAGAGAAGGAAAACCCATTTTATACATTAAAAGAGCAGCGTACTGTCCTGTGCGTTGTTCGGTTGTGTCTCGAGAAGGATGCCTAATGTTAAGTGCAAGTTCAGCGTATACCTTTTTGCGCTGCCTGCTTTAGAAGCTACCACTTAAAATCAGAGTATGAGCACCTTCTTTCCTCCTTGCACGACCTCATTTTCTGCGGTGAAAAGCTACCAGGTGGCCCTTCCAGGGCAGCTCCAGGGATCAAATGCTTCCGCGCAGAACACTGGCAGCCAACTTCTGGAGCAGAACAAGGCCATAAACAGCTTGGTAACTGGGCGGTGCAGAGGAAGGTTTGGCCAAGTTGTCTGCTTGAGACTTTTGCTATTGCTGCGCAGCTATTTAACATTCAAACTGCTTTTACTGTTCGCCGTTTACTATTTCCATTTCACTCTAGTTCTCTTAAAATCGCGATAATTCAAACAACCGTCTCTACTTGAAATGCGACTGCTTCTGCTACGTCTACTGCTATTGCTAGTACGCTGGTAGGAACCCTGTGAAGAGGCCAATGACTTGTCACCAGAGGGACTAATTGAAAAACGTGTTTTTGTTCGCCTGCGCCTTATCCATGAGGGTTCATAGGCTCTAGGAGAATCTAACAGTTTCGTCCAAGAGGATTAGAAAGTAGACCCGCTGATTTATTTTGGGGGAGGGCGGCTTGGTTACTTAAAAGGGGCTATGTTCGAGGCTTTAGGAAGCAACCGCGGTTTCCCCTACCAGCTACTTGAGCAAGACTTTGCATTGCGCGGCAACATACTCTCTGATGTCTACTGCACTCATCCCCAAAGAGATATGAATTCACCTAAGCCCTAAACCTCTGTAGTTCGGAGCCTGTCTTTCATTTAACCGAGGACAGATAAGTAATGGAAAATATCTCCGAGGAGAGGTTCCCAGCAAGCAATGGTTCTGAACCCGGAGTCCTTCCGGTAGTTTCCGATGCAAGGTTGGGTCCATGTACCCTAGAATTGAAAGGTTATCCGCCATAGTTTGGGGAATATCGCATAGCTTCACGGGATCCAACCCAGGCAACTGAAGATTAAGGATCCGTGAACCCTATACCTGAAACCTCAGCCCTGGGTCCTCACGGCTAGTAAGCCCGGAACCCCAAACTCTCAGGTGAAGACTACGAAATGGCAGCAGGCATTGGTGTCGCTGACAGCACTGGAAGACCAAAGGCTAGTGTCTGTGGCTGGGACCGCGCATGTTGTAGTCTTACTACAAGTAGCTTCTTCTTTTTGTGATGGTGTAGTTGCAGCTGTTTCTTTCGCTGACTTGAGTTGTGAAAGTTTTCCTTCGGGTGGGGCACTTGAGCTCTTAGGTCGTGACATATAACACTGCAATCAGTGCCTGTGTCCGCGGCGTACAGTGGGCGAAGCTGGGCCCAGTTGAGATCAGGGAATTCATCTTTTGTCTGGGGGGCTCTCAAATGAGGAGCTACATTCCTTTGTTGACGGGCAGGAGGGGACGGGTGTCTCTCTGCCCACCATCTCAGATCCCCAAAGCCAACCCGCTTCAAACAAGACCTATGCCTTCAACCCCTAGACGCACGGACATGAGAGGAGAACTGAAAGTCATCGCAGTACTCCAGTATGGCACCCTACACTCTGCCATCATGCGCCCTGGATCGTCAACCGATGTCCTGGCTTTTGTAGTCCTCATAATCCACATCATCCCGCCAGTACAGACTAAGGTTGGCTTTGTGCTTCCTACAACAGCTGCAAGGCCAGCGCCTCGCGAACGTGATCACCTATTCCACTTCTTTGAGACTGGGATGCTAGAATTTGATGGGGCTTCTGACACAGGGATGCCCCCAACCAATCCTAAAGAAGCACAGTAATGGGAATGCCCCAAGCAGTCGGCGAGCCTCATGGTGGTTTTGGGGGTTCAGGCAAGTGTAAATGTTGAGAACCATCCATCTGGCATTACTGGCAGGATGCGCAGGATGAGTACAAGTACCGATGGTATTGATTGTAATGATGACACAATGCGGTTGCAGCGTCACTGTAGCAGTCAGTTGGAGTGTGAACGGTGCATGTTGCATGCTTCTTTATTGTATTGCACCGTGTTTGACATTCCGTTCGTCAGTTACAGTTTCAGTACGTAAGGATTCGGATTGCAGAGAGGCAGTCCCTGCCACACGTTGCAAAGGTCGCAGAAACTCTCCATGAATCCTGGTGTTGCTGAGCCTAGGTCCATGTTGAAGGTTGCTGGGGTCTTCGGAGTATGAGTTGTGTGAAGTCGCAAATGGATATGGTCCAGCATAGCTGCGGCTTGGCAGCCCGCACGGCATTTCAAGCACGAGCTGGCTCCAAGTACCTGCTCAACATTATTCTGATGATAATTATTGTACTGATTCATGTTAATATTTTTACATATTTCAGTGAGGGTTCTGATGATTAGGAGCTCCCTGGATGCGGCCAGCCTTTGGGTGGAGGCCATCGCGCTCATGGTTGAAATGCGCGTCTCGAAGGTCTGCGTTTGCCAAACCTGGGTTGAGGATTTAAGTTTAGGGTGGGGTTCGGGATATGGTGTCAGGGTTCAAAGGCTACAGTAAATTTTGGAAGATGTCTTGAGAACAGAGTCTAAGTGAGACATTCTCAGGTTTCAGTTCTGCTTGTTGAGGCCCGTGTCTTATCCAACCACCAGGTCATTCAGAACTCCATCATCTACAACACAGCGATCAGCGCCTGCTCAAAAGGTGGCTTTGAAACCATAGGTGTGCTCCAGAGTACCGGCTTCGAGGATCGAAAGAGACAAGAACCTTTGTCAGGAAACGGTTAAAAGAGCTTTGGCGATAATGAGGCCATAGGTGAGCCTCTCAAGTACTAGCACCAGTACTCCTCTTGATGATAGTCATCATCGTTGTCGTAGCAGTACCAGTGGTAGGGTGTCAAGTGGCCGTAGTAGGTCTGCCAATCTCTGAAATGTGCTCTTTTGCTGCGGCATGAATTCCATTTTGGGCCCTGCAGCTATGACGCCAACATGATCCTGCGAAAGCTGACTCTGCCCACTGGCAGGTATGGGCTGCAATGCTGGGAAGAACGACTTTCCCCCAAAACCCGACACCTGCGCATCCTACACACACTTCCCCATGTCGCATGCCTCCCAAAAAAGGCGCTTCTGAGAAAGCACTAGCCAGCTTGCGACATCAAAGGCGAAGCATGGGCTGCTGCTTTGCAACTACTGGAAGACTTCGAGCTGGAGAACCTGGAAGCTGGTCAATTTGGGCTTGAAGGATTCCAGATTCCTAACGCTTTGGGGTTAGTTCCGGCGTGACATTGGGGCAGCTGGGATTCCTCAAGTGTGGGGGTTGTGTGTTTTGTGCTTTTTGCCGGTCGCAAGTGGTATTGATTTCCTTGACGGTGGCCCAGGAAGCGTGCATCATCCCATACAATACGGCAATCAGCAGCTTAGCAGCACGGCAGGGGAATCCAGGCATGCGGCAATGTCATGGAATATAGCAAGAGGTGCCTATGATGTGGAGCTTTGTCACGAATACGTTGGGTGTTTTTTTTAAGATTGCGCATGGAGGTTGCCACGTGCTTGAGCTACACACGGAGGACCTCAATCTTGAAACATATCGGGAGCCCAGTCCCATCACAACTTCAGGAATCAATTT